TAGTTTTTAATTAGTATTTATAATAACAGCTGTAGTAATAAACATCATGACGAAATAACTAGGTATGATCACAATTTTGTGATACGCATTATATCTCTATTAAGTCTATTATCAGAAATAGGAGTGGGAGTCTTCCTCAACTTTTCATTGGTCCTTGATATTATTATATTATTATATACTCTAAACTCATAATATGCGCATTAAATATAAGCCAATCAAATTATGAGGATGACTCCCACGATATTATACGTCGACTGAACGAAATTCAGATTGTTGTGATCATACCTTGTTACTTCGTCATAATAAACATGTCAAACCATAAATATTACGCTCTCAATTTAATATACATAAAGGATAACATATTTACAGTATTACTCAGGGACAGTGTTATTTCTACCAGAATAACATTAATACAGTATTCGGGTATTCCATATAACACTATTACCCAGGGACAGTATAGGTAACTCGATAGAGTGCGCAATTGTAGATGATATACAAGAAACAGCTAATCCAAGGGGCAAGGAATGTAGAACAAAGACTGCTATATGATCTCTCAAACCTCCAATGTTTTTCAGGGATGAACAAACACCTATTAAATTACGTTCACAACGACCAGATGACCTACAAGAAACAGTCAACTCGCAAGGAATGAAGAACAAATAAGCGGCTACGATTTCGCAAACGTCCAAAGTTTTTTAGAGACAAACAAACTCCACCACCTTGGGGCACATAACTGACTAATTATGTAACCAGTGACCAGTTAGTTATTTGGTTAAAATGATCAGTTAACCCCTAACCAGATATTATAGATTTAGAGTTTCCCTCGCAGTCGGGGAGGACGGTGTCGACAAGGCGCTGGCCTCGGCCTCCACACTGGACGTCTACCTAACGACTGCATGCAAAGCATCCATGCTGAGAAAGAGGCCCGGTCCTTCGGGCAAGCCCCCAGTCTACTGGTGGTCTGATGGCATTGTGGAGCTGAGCAGAAACTGCTTGGCTTTCCGCAGGCAATATCAGAGGCGCCTTCACCGAGTCGACCAGCCAGACATAGTTGAAGCAAGGTTAGCCTTCAAGACTGCTAGGAGAGGACTCCACACTGCCATCCGTGTGATCAAAAGGAATGCTGGTCTGAACTCTGGGCCCAGGTTGACACGGATCCCTGGAGAAGACCTTACAAACTCGTCATGAAGAGACTCGGCTTTAGCCTTCCGGGCGGGGACTCCAGGGGCAGAGAGGCCGGATTCGCCGACTTCCTCTTTCCTGCGGCCCATATCACAGACTGGTACGCTGCTCCTACTCCAGTGGTCAACAACATCTTTGAGGTATTCGACCCTATTCTAAACTCCCTAGTGTTCACGAGGGTCATCAAGGACTTCACTTTGGACAAGTTCAAAAAAGCATTCAAAATACTCCCCACGGGCCATCGGGCATCCCGAATGAGGTTCTCAAATCAATCCTGTCCACGGGGTACTCAGGCTGTACAACAACTGTCTGCCCGTGGAAGCACCGTCCAGCTACAGACCAATTTGCATGTTGCACACCCCAGGCAAGCTAATGGAGCGGCTCCTCCTCCAAAGGATTGAGGACCACCTCGACGCCCATGGAAGACGAAGGAGAGCCTCAAACCAGTACGGCTTCAGGAAGGGCGTTAACACAGAGTCTGCAATAGCAAAGGTTCTCGGGCTAGCCACCCAGGCTGACACCGGACGTGGACAAAAGGATCTGTGCATCCTAATGAGGCTGGATGTAAAGAATGCATTTAATACCCTGAAGTGGCCCATCATCGACAAGGCCCTGAGGTCGAAGAACACCCCCAAGTACCTGGTCAAAATGCTACGGTCATGGCTTTCAGATAGGACACTGTTGACAGGGGAAGAGATGACATCCAGACCAGTGACATGTGGTGTCCCGCAGGGGTCGGTCCTTGGCCCCGCCCTATGGAACGTGTCTTACGACTCGCTATTGGAGATTCAAGTCCTACCAGGGGTCCACCTGGTGGACTTCGCAGACGACTTGGCCATAATGGGCGTGGCCAGGACCAGCCAGCTGCTAGAGGAGGCACTCAACCCCACCCTGGAAGCTATCGACGCATGGATGACGCAGAAGGGCCCGCAGCTCGCCCATCACAAGAGCAAGGCAGTTCTCCTCACCAACAAAAGCGCATTGGGTGGTTGGTGGACACCAAATAACGATCGAAAAAAATCTGAGGGGTTATTCTGGACAGGCAACGAACATTCACGCCTCATATCGAAATGGTCGCGAAAAAAGTCTCCTGTTCGGCAGCAGCCTTGGCAAGGCTTATGCCAAATGTAAGAGGTCCCTGCCAATGGAAGCGCAGGCTCCTGACCCTGGTGGTCGAGAGCCAGTTATTTTACCCCAGTCTGGGCCACCAAAGTGGCCTAGAACCAAATCAAACTTGATCCGGCCACAGAGGACAACTGAGCTTAGAGTGATTTGAGCACACAGGACCATTTCTGACAAGGCCGCCTTGATCCTGCCTCCAGCGGATTCAACCCCGGTGAACCCTGGAAATCCAAGGTGGGCGTCAAGTGGCAACAGAGAAGGATCACCATCGACCTCTGGCAAGAGAGATGGGAAACCACAGAAAAGGGTGCGTGGACGAGCCGAGCGATCCCCAGTGTAAGGAGATGGATCGAAAGAACCGTGCCAATAGTGCCTTTGTCATTTCATATGACTCAAGCATTGTCAAACCACTGCTGCTTCGAACAATACTTGTCAAGAATGGCAAGAGCTGACAACGCAGTATGACAATGCGCGCAATAACTCAGCAGAGCACACGATATTTGTATGCCCCAACTAGAGCAACCTCCGTATCGAGCTCGGTGCCTACCTTGGCCACCAGCCTACCGCAGATGACCTACCCGACCTCCTGTGCGGACCCGATTTCAACCTCCTCCCCGAGGGTCTAGAGGAGAAGACCACGATACCAACGCGGCTAAACAATTCAGGCTGTTATACAAATTGGTGGAAAACATCCTCTCCCTCGAGGAAACGGAAGAAAGGGCAAGGCAGCAACCGGAAGAGAGAGCCTACACCGGACCCCGACGTCCAACGCGCTGTAAACCTCCGACCTAGCAAGTCTTCGCCTTATGCAATACTGTCTTTTTTTTTTTTAACTTTGTTGTGACTTTGTGAGCTCCCCTGAGCAACTCTCTTCATGGCAGACATATACTTACTAGCGTTCGCTGGAAAAAGTGTACCAGGTCGAGGGGGTTTAGGTCTGATGCCGTTGATGTTTTACTACGTTTTTTGTCAATAAACGATGGTGGTAGGAGGAGAAGTAAAGCTAACGTGGTTCCTCCTCCGTCCCTCGATTAACTCAGAAAAAAAAAGATTTACAGTTTCAAAACCGAAAAAAAATCGAATCTAAAATGCCGGAGACGTTCCGGCGACTTGTAGAAAATTCCTTATGTGAATTCTGACTTATCTTCTCTATACAATATAAAAGTAAGTGGCGGTTTCTATTATCCTTATGATCTCGAAAACTACCCGACTGATTTACTTGAAATTCAACATAGATATTCAACTACATCTGAGGAAGGTCAGAACCGACATGAAAACCCCACTCGATGTCTTTCTCGGTCGCCATTTCGAGACGACTTCATGCATATATTTTAATGTATATTTTATAATTATTATGTTTCTATGGAAACTGTTTGTTTATAAGTCACTACGAGCAAAATAAAAAATACAAAAATGAAAAGAAGGCATGATAAGAACGATATCGAAGAACAAAAAAATAAGATAAATATAGGAAAAGTTAATGAATGATTATTGCAGAATAAGAGAAGAGTGTCAAAAACAAAATTTGTTGTTGTTTTGATTTAGTTTATGGTGTTCTTTGGTATGGTGGATTATTTAAACGAGTATATGAGGTATACCATCAGAAAAGGCTTGAATTAAGTTTTCCAATAGTGTATTATATTATTTGTAAAAATTATATAATAATCTGTATCATTTTAATGCTTGAGGATATACGATGTTCTTTGTTTTTCCATTCGGACAATAAATATAGAGATTTTTCGGGTCACCACCTCTTGAACATGCTACATATAATTGACCATGAGAGAAGCACATAGGATCAAGTATAAGTCCTGTACATTTCAATGATTGACCTTGAGATTTATTTATAGTGAAGGTGAAGCAAGTTTTACCGGGAACTGTAATCGCTCAAATCCAAACGGCACTTCACTGGGTTGAATAGGTATTCTTGGTATATATATGACTTCACCTTTTCCACATCCGGTTAATATTGTAGCTTCTATTACATTATTTTTCAAAGATTTTACACTTAAACGGGTTTTATTGCAAAATTTAGGTGGATTAATATTTCTTAAAATCATGATAGGTGCTCCAATTTTTAAAGTTAATATATATGAGGAGGTAAACCTGGTATTGTCAAAGAATTTAAAAACTCCATTGGATAGTGTATTGAAACTTCGTGATTGCATACGGTATCGATTGATTTAAATGTTTTACTTTCTCCTAGGAGAGAGTTTAATATATCTTTATTAATATCATCTACTTTATTATTTGTCGGTGCAAGTATGGCTCTTTCACATATCCATTCATGATTGATATAATTTTTTTGCATATCAGGAAATACATGAGTTTTCAAAGATTCAATTGATTTTACTATATTGCAAAAATTTGATGGAAATTCAACAGTACCATCTGAATCTTCCTTCCATTTTCCATTACCAAGAAGTAGTAATTGTTCTGAAAAAGTTGATGTTGTAGGATCCTGGATCACCTGTTAAAAATACCATCATGTTTTTTTTTAACATTATTATCTTTGTATGTTTCCAAAGATAAGATTTTTTCAAACATGCATCAATTTGGTCAGCAGGTGTTCCATGTGTTATTACCGGTAATGTTTGTCGGAAGTCTCCAGCTAAAATAACCACTACTTTTCCCATTATATATTCATTGTTATTCAAATTTTTTAAAGTTTTATGCAATGCCTCTGAACCTTTTTTATGTGTCATCGTACATTCATCCCAAATTATAACTTTTGTTTTTATATACAACCGATAGATGAAAACAACAGAAAAGTATGATACCACCACTTATATTCTGGTTTTATATTTATTTTCATTTCATAATTTTATATCTCGTTTTTCAGATAACTTTAAATTTATGGAATGAAAAAGTCAATGAATTCAAAGGAAAAAAAGAGGATATTAATGCAATTAAAAATGCCAAAATTGGAGAGTATAATTACATTAAAAATGTATCTTTAATCAATTCATCTAGAGTATCGATAAATCCAGGCGTTCCCGAAGCGACAAAGTATATATATAAATCTATTTAATGATATTAATAAATAAAAAAAAAAATTATAGGAAAAATTAATGAATGATTATTTCAGAATAAGAGAATAGTGTCAAGAACAAAATCAAGACACTGAATTAGATGAAACAATGTATACAAAAATTGAAAAGGTTTTAAATCTGGAAAATCAAACAATCATAAGTTACAATAAGAAATCATTGAAAAAAAATTAAACATAATTCATTCAGATGTCATTGCAGTTATCGAAAATATCGGAGACACTGATACAGTATTTGCAAAAGATGGAAGGGAATTTAAGAAAAAAGAGATACAACTAATTGATAACAGTGAGGAGGCAAGTGTATATCAGAATAAAAAATCACTATAAATATTAATAATCCTCATGTTCTAGATTACACTGACTTTATGGAATGAAAATGCAGAAAATTTTATTGTAGAAAAAGCAAGAGTTAACGAATATCAAGATAAAAAATATTTAGCATTAATACAATCATCAGTTATAACTTATCATGTGGAAACTTCTAAAATAAAAAGGTAAATTTGTGACCAACGATTAAAACAATGAAAATCAAAAATAATCATTAAATTACAGTTTTCATGATTGGTATTTAACAAAATATAATTAAGAGGAAAAAATGAACCGAAACCAAGCACTTCCAAAATGGAAGACTAAAAATAAGAAATATTTATTTGAAATACATTTAAGAAACAATTTCTAATAAACAAAAAAAAATTTTTTCAAAATAAATACTTAAGGTCTTTTTCTTCTATTCTCTTTTTTCATTTAGAAATTTCGACGGACAAAAAAATCAATAAGCATTAGAGCATATTTTATTTTTACGCATGATTTGATGACATAATCATTTTAATTATACACAACTGAACTTTATAGCAATATTTATGAATTAATAATTTTAAAGTTGAACTGTCAAAATCGTTAAATTGCATTTTTAATGGTACGTTCAATCTATTCCGTATTTTAAAAAGAATATAGCGAAAAATTAGTGAAAAATCGCGGTGTCAGCTAAAATGATTCAAAAAAAGAAAAATAATGGAAGAAGTAATTTTTCAAAAAAATGGAAAAAGTGAAAAATGTTGGATTTCATTTCAATCGGTTGAGTAGTCCAAAAGAACACTCATAAAGGAGGAAAAACGAAAAGTCAAATTTAGAGCGTATATATCAACACGTATACATCAAAGGCAATTCCACTTGTTAGCGAAATTTATTGAGTATCGTACATAACAATGAAAACATTTTATTAAGAAAATAAAAAAAAAATAACATTACCGAACTGAATTCTTCATTTATTAAGAAAAAAAAATTCAAAGTGAAATATTCGTATGGTCGCAACCCGGGCGAAGCCGGGGTAACACCAGCTAGTAGACTATGTAACCAAGCCAGTGATACGCAATTATTTAAGTCATAGTACAAAATATGAATGTTAAATGAATCAATTATCGTAACCCATCTAAAGGGTGGTGTGCAAATAGCATGTACACTGAACATATTAAGAACAAGCTAAATTGAATATCAAAATGTTGTCCTACGACTTTTAGATAGTTATCATAAAGCTCCAGATCGTTTAAAGTTATATATAATGTTATAAATCGACTGTCAAACGATTTGGATTTATGGTGGCGTATACAATTCAAACCGGGATGTGATAGTTCGATGATAATGAATCTCAGTACGACCAACTCCAAAAATAACCTATCAGAAATAAAATATTCAATAATACACTGTTATAGTGTTAGTATTATACAACATTATTATAACTTATTAGCAAAACACTAGTGTTGGGAATAGATAACTAAAATATTATCTATATAAAGATAATAGATAAAGACGCCTAAAGTATATAAAGATTATAGATTAAGAGATATGCAGTGGCATAGCCAGTAATCTGCCAAGGTGGGCCAAGAGACGACGGCTGCTCAGATAACAACAGGTAACACCACTTGTAATTCTGAAGAGTTTTGGACCAATTGCAGTGATAAAAATTAAGGAATATCCACCCTGCAGTATGTAGATACATGGGTACATGAATATGACTTGTAAACTTAATACATTCATCGCTGCGCTCAGTAATTGTTGATAAAAATTATTGGAGTCATTAAGAACTTTTATCCCGCATAATATATTGTTTTTATTACTTTCATTGTCATTTTCTGTATTTTGTATAATTAAGATTGGGAAAATAGAGCCGATATCATTTGCTCAAGATGTTGCATACTTTTATAAATAAAAGAATATGATATATTATTTTTGAGTTAATAATTTTTTTTTTCTTATAATATATTGGTGGACGCCGCTTGCACCATGGCCCCCTAGCAATAGTGAGGCGACCAGGCACGTCTCTTCAGGAAGAAATTGATTGAATTCTCAGTTATTGTATAACTCCCAATTCAAGAGGTTATTAATAAGTAATAACACAATCATATATAGGTAAGAATAGTACATTTCATAATATTTTTTTATTAAACAATATAATTTAGATATCGTTACTTGAAATATTTGTTTTATATTTCTTACCTATATTATAATGACCAGATATTGGTAAACGCCCCTTGCACCGTACGGCCCCTCGATCTAGTGAGGCGACCGATAACGTCACTTTTAGATAGTTGATTAACTACTCAATCAAGTCTTCCGAGTTCCGATTCACTAAAGATTTATATTTAGTAGACGGGATAATTTGAAGAAAAATAGTAAATTGAAGAGAGACTGTGTGTTGTAACAAAATATTTGGCAACAATAAAACATGTGGTTTACACAGGGAGTAGCAGTGTAACACTATGACAGGTCGTAGATTTTGTGGTCTATAGACTTATTAGGGCTGTACGTCTGTATACGAGTTGCGACCGTAGACTAAGTGTAAAGTCTAATAATGGTATTTTAATAAAAGTAGATAGATATAGATATCAAATTGTATTTAATAATTAATATACTTCCATTTTTTCAAGAGAAAACATAGATACTTTCCCCCTCCCTACACCACCGATCATAAATGTAAAAGTGGAATGCAATAAAAATACTCAGGTAAATGGCAATTATTGTTACAAATACAAAATAAATATTTTAGATTCTAAGTGTAGCGATGAATGTATAAGCTTACAATGATTAGGGTTTTTTCTTCTATCATCAACATTCGTGGTAGTAAAAGCTAAAAATGCTCAGATTTTTGACATCAGCATCTTTTCTGATAAAAAATGAATCTAGCAGGTGCATTCGGGAGATCGAAATTGAAAATTCCGGTTAGTTTTCGAAAGCGGTAAGAAAATCAAGAAATAAAGGAAAAAAAAAATGTTAATTTTTAATCAAAACCTGAAATTTTTGAAAAATACCTATTTTATTTTTTGATTGAACTCAAAACAAAAACTAATAACATTAGAAAATTTTCACCAAATATCTATTATGAAAACATTTACGAAATATTTCGACTCTTATTTTTGGGATATTTATATTTTTTTGATTTTGTTGGGCTCAGAGACATTATTCGATTTTCGATTTTTTTTAATTGTTTTTGAATTATAAAAACTTTTTAAATAAAATAGCTTGAAAATGTAATATTAGGTTCTTCATAAACCTCTGTAATAGCAGGCATAGATTATTTTTTATATGCATTAAAATTCAAATGTTGACTTAATTCATCAATATTCTATAAATTCTTAAAGTAGTTAATACAGTAATCAAAAATCTAAAAAAATCATATACAATTTTTTCAACATAAAACATTTTAAATTCAGACGGCATTAGAAATTTAAACGAAGAATAACTAATACTACTAATACTATTACTTTGCTGTAATGCAATTTAAAATTTAAATTATAAATTTTACTTTATTTTACTATATTTACTAATTTTACTCTCATTTAACAGAGTATATTATTATATTATACGCAATGATATTTTGAAAATATTTAAATTCAAAAAGAGTGCCTTGCTAAATGTAATAGAATAAAAGATTAATGCATTACATGTAAAACATTATTTCTCATTAATTTAACTGTCGTATGATATAATATAATATCTGTATACTTTTTATAATTTTATATTTTATACAACAACTGAAGTTGAAGATTATCTAAAATGTGTGGTCGTAAATTTTTAAACATGTTTTTCCGGTTAATATCTTCTTATTTTTTATTTTAATTGAGTAAATTTGCTGAAAATTAAAAATTTGTACGAGTAATGAAAACTTAAATTATTTTCTAAGATGGTAGTACATTTAAAAGGGGAGCAGTTGCTCAAAATCCGGCCAGTTGCTCGTTGTGTGACTTACCTGTGTATAATATTATGTAATATCGTTATGTAGGTTAGTGCTCAGACCAACAGCGACGGTTTTCGTCACCTAGGTCGACCAAGCCAACGAGTCACCCGACCGACGCATATATTTCGGTTCCTGTCTTACTGACACTGCGGCCGAAAGCTTAAGCAGCCGCGTTAGCCGATCTCCTGAGTACCATATAGCAGCATCGTATGAGTTTCGGGATGGTTCCAGCGCCCTGCTTCACTGTTAATTTAAACACTATATTATATTATAAAAACCAAATTTAAAAAAAGTTAAAAACTCATCGGATACAATCATTGAAATTGTCGAAATAATATTGCAATATAAGTAAACTAATTCTATTCGATTAAACATTTACACAGTATAGTAGTATACAAACGCAGTAGTATTCAAAAATAAACAATATTAAATTCACAATATATCTATAATAATAATAATAATATTCGTAGCCAGCACAATATTGGTGCGGTATATAACACAATATAATATGTTTATTTATGTACTAGCCAATACGGTATAATATCAATTTTATATACGACATAGAGCTTATAGACTATAAATAATAATAATATAATAATAATAATAATAATAATGATTAATAATATAATATAACGTCATATATACCTAGTATACTGTGTAGCATTGGCGTTGTAATCCCCCCCCATTGTTAAATGATAACAACGTTATTATTAATAAAATATTTTCAGATAAAATTCGTCAAAAATGAATTATTACCCCTTCCGAAAAAAATTCTGGATACGCCACTGTAATTAATACAAATCTACCGATTCATACTA